TTTTCCATGTCAGTGAGTGGTACTACCACCACCCAGTTATCAGATGATAAACTAAGAAATTAGTCTTTTCCCTCTTTCCCTGCATCCCGTCCATCAACATATGTAGCTCTATCTCCACATATAGCCTGAATCCAACCACTTCTTCATATCTCCACTGCTACAGTCCTGGCCATTACCTCTCTCATGGGCAGCAACATCATCCTAATAGGCATTCCTGCTTCCCCTCTTGCCCCATAGTCCATTCTCTCTCAGTGGGATTATCTTTCAAAAGCATAAAGCAGCTCATGTTGCTCCCCTGCTTAAAACCCTCTAATGGAACATTCTGTCTGTAAATATATAGTCTCCTTATCTCTGTCCTCCATAAAAACCTAGAAACAATAACCAGCCCAGTAACAATGAGCATCACTAGGTAGTTCTGAAATATAATTTCCCACTAAAAGTAACCAGAACTTTTGGAAGTGGCTGATTCCAAGTCTAGGGCAAGAAACATACAAAATGAGCCAGAAATATCTTACCATAACAGAAAATAAGGACCTATCAATGTTTATCAGAGTGACATCAAAAGGACTTGGAAGCTGAATCAAAGAGGTTCCAACTGACCAAAGATGGAACAATTTGAGTTTTAACAGAGATAATGATTGCAATGGATTGAAACCATGAAATATGCTACAATCCAGGAGTTCATAATGATATCGATAAATATAATAATAAGTCACCTTTGAAGCATGATAAGAAACAAATTCATTATCTTAAACCTGGTAACTAAAGAGAGAAGAAGCCAAGCATTTACCCTGCCTTTTCTGTACCTTAACTGTACCACTAGTGAACAAATAATATTAAAGAAAGCGCCTCTTTATGGAAAGGTTCCAACGAATAAATGAAAAAAGATGTAATAGAATTAGAATAGCACCATGTTGCACCCTCCAGTGAATTAACAGATATAGGCACTTTGTATAAGTGGCTGCTAAGGCCATAAAGACAACCAGACATCGCTGTTAAAAGAGCACACTACCATCTTGTCTTGTCAAAGGGATCCAAACCTGTGTCTGATCAAGTCTCTAGATCCAGGCACGAATCTGCGTGAAAGAGAGAAGACAGAGGAACATGCTGAGTGAGGTCAAACCTGCCTGGCCCTGAAGTAGATACACTCTAAGGAAAAGAAGGGGAATAAGAGGGAACCTACAGATTAAAAGACTTAACATGCATATCAAGTAAGCTTTTTAAAATAATAGACAAGACTATAACATCGAAGGATGGATATCTGAGTGATAAAATTACAAAGGCACGTAAAGTCGTGATTACTGTGAAAGTCAGGGGAGTGGTCACCTTTGCCAGGAGGGAGGTGGTTGGGGTGAGGGTAGAGTCCCTGCAGGGCTCCTGAGGCGGTTGCAAAGTTTTTTTTGAGACCTGGATGGTAGATACAAAGATGTTTGCCTTCTAATAATTAAGCAGTTCGTTAGCTTGGTTGACTTTTCTACATCTGTGTTTTATTGTGATTTAGAGAGAAAAAAATTTTTTAACGTCTAATACAGGGGTTGGCAAGCTTTTTCCAATGAGCCAGATAGTACTTATTTTAGGTTTTGCTGGCCAGGAGGCAAAAATCGAGGCTATTGTGTAGGTATTTATTTAACCATTTTAAATGTAACCATTAAGCAATGCATAAGGACAAACCCGAGTATTGCGACCCTCAAGGGCCCACGAATCCTTGAATTTCCGATCCCAGGGGGTTCCCACCCCTGGAGCGTCGCGATCCAGGTCACCCTGCTGTCCCCGGGTTCCCGAGAGAGCAGCTCCGCTCTGCAGCCGAGGGCCTGACGACCTCCGCGTCTCTTAGCAACAGGCAGACGCGACCACGCGTCGGTGGGACCCAGGGTGGGGCGGGTGGGAGCGAACACGCATGCGCGCGAGGAGTTCTCGGCTCCACCCCCCAGCTCTAGCTAAAAAGGGAGATCCCTGGGGCACCCAAGCCCTGGGAACTGGACGCACACAGAACTCCGTGTCCCGACTCTTCCCGCAAGTCCTGTACCACACCCTTGTCACTCAAGTATGGTCCAGTAGATTAAGTGGCAACAGCATCACCTAGGAGCCTGCTAGAAATACAGAATTTGCACCTAACCCCAGACCTACTGAATCCCTGTCTGTATTTTTAACAAGATCCCAGGAGGTCCCCATCCTTATTAACATTTCACAAGTGTTGCTTTTACAATCCAGATAAGGCAAAGCCATAAATAAATACATCACCTCTATAGATTGAACTTTTAACCCTGACACTAAAAGACAGCCTTTATGACTTATAAGAGGAAGTTCCCAAAGCTGAGTTCTCTGTGCTCAGCAAGGGCGAAAATTCCAGGAAAGAATGCATCACTGACCTCAGGTTCCTGCTCCCAAAGCCAGTGGGGGAAACCAGGAAGGACAATTTCCATTCCCTGAGTAAGGGATAACATCGAAAGAGAGGATTCAAAGAATGGGCACCTTGGAACTGCAGAGTAACTAAGTCAAATGGCAACATAGGGGTGATCCCAGACACAGGGAAGGCACCCAGGCCCAGCAAACAGCTCCCAGGAAACAGGCCCCACTTTCATATTAAACCTCAAAATGAAAATCCTACTAATACTAAATCAGTGGGTAATTACTCCTGAGAGAAGTTCCCAGGTCAATAACTTCCCAGTGTGGTAAATTCTCTCCATATCCATCTATCTTGGGAAACTGCAGACCTTAAGTTTAACTTCCTCATCAGATGACTGGCAAATCAGAATAGAAGCATCCTAGTCCTAGAAGAACCACTTTGCTTCACTGGGAAATATTAAAAAGAAGAAACTTACTTACCAAAGAACACCACAAAGAAAAGAAAATGATCATCTTTTTAAAAATATATATATCTTTATTGATTTCAGAGAGAGGAAGGAAGAGGGGGAGAAAGAGAGAAACATCAATGACTGGGATCAAGCCCACAACTCAGGCATGTGCCCTTACTGGTAATCGAACTATAATCTCCTATATCCTAGGTCAATGCTCAACTGCTAAGCCAAGCCGGGCAAAAATGATCATCTTTTAATAGCAAGGACAAAATAGTAAAATGAGAGAAAAAAACCCTCTCCAAACAGAAAACACCTCAAAAAATGCACTTCTAAGAATCCAATGTACATGCTACAATATGGATGAACCTTGAAAACATGCTATGTGAAAGAAGCCAGTCACATAGGACCATATAACGTATGGTTGCATTTATATGAAATGTTCAGAATAGGCAAATTCATAGACAGAGAGTTGATTAACTGGTTGCCTAGTGCTGGGAGGGGTTGGGGGATTAAGTGAATGGCTAAAAGTATGGGGTTTCTTTGGGGAATAATGAAAACGTTCTAAAATTAATTGTGGTGATGGATGACAGCTCTGCGAATGTATTAAAAGCCACTGAACTACACCCTTTAAATGGGTGAATTGTATGGTGCATGAATTATATTTCAATAAAGCTGTTTGGGGAAAAAAATCCATGGCTCCTAGATCCACATTTGTCTAAAAACATCAAGTTCCTACTATAATGCACTACCTTTCTGGGCAAAATCTGTACAGAAAATAAAGTTGACATCAGGACTAGGTAGAGGCCCCAGCTAGATTTCCCTAGCAAAACACTCCCATCTTAGTTTGGGGAAGAATTTCACAGTCTTGTCACAAAATTATCAATCTCATGGAAATCCCCATCTGGCTTTTAGGTTCCTGTTTCAAAAACACTGGAAAAACCAAAACAGGCAAAACACACTTTCAAAACACCTTTAATCTATGTGGGAAAGAGAAGAAACAGGATCATGGGACAGATCAGAAGACAAAGTTAAGAATTCACTATCATTAAAGAAACTCGAAGCAAAAAAAGAACTACACATTTCCCAAGGAAGTTGTGTTTCAAAAGTCCCTAAATAACATAATTCACAAAGAATGGTAGCCAAAAGAACCCACCTGGATGGCTGAGGCCTTGTAAGTGACTACACTGACCTCAGTTCTTCTACCACTATTGGGTTTTCACCTTGGCAAATTATCTCCTCAGCCTGTTAAATTTCCCAAACCAAGAGCAGAGGGAATCATGAGAAGTCCCATGAGGAACCTGGGCTGCATCCACAAAGGCCTGTGTGGGCCTCATGGTCACAGCTGTCACCATCGAGAGACAGACAGAAGGGGGAGGTGAAACAGGTATCTCTTACCCTAAAGCAAAACACACAAAACTCTAATGGCACCCTGGGATGCTTAGGGAGGGAGAAATCTCTACAGTCATTGGCCAACAGCTTCCCCCTGCCCTGACAAACTGGATTCTCTCTAATCCCCAGGAAAATAAATTAAAAGACCAAATGTTATTAATCAATTAATAATGGAGCAGGTGCTGTTTGGCTTCTGCCTCTCTACTAGACTCCAGTTCTAAAGAGTCTGCTTCAGTCCCTCAGAACAAAACGGCCATTTCCAATGCCAACCACAGGGAACTAGCAAGCGCCTAGAACAGTGCCTGGCACATAAATTTGTTTAATGCCTCTTGAATGAATGTTGGATTTTCCTCTTTGGCACTCTTGCCTTCTTTCCTCAGCTTGGAAACACACGCACACACACGCGCACACACACGCGCACGCGCACACACACACACACACGAAGTTCAATCCACGCCTGTTCACTGCAACTTCATTTGTACCCAACTTTGTAAAATTAATAAAATTAACAATTACTGCTACAATATAGATTTCTGGAGGGCATGGATTTTTGCTAATTTTATTACTAACGTACCTTAAGCTCCTGAAACAATGCCTGGCGCATACTAGGCTCTCAATGAGTATTTGTTTCATGCCGAATGAACTGAGGGACTACAAGCATCCCCTTCACAATCATTTCCACAATGGCTGCAGAGGCTGTCTTGAGTCCTCCCACCACCAGGGGGCGCTGCAAGAAACGCCCAGCTGCCTTCTCACGCCACCTAATATCCCCGAGGTGCCCTTTGACCCCGTGAAGTCTCTGCCCCTAGTTAAGATGGCGGCGTCGGTGGTAGCTGCAGGTGGCGGACTGCGGCGGGCCCTTCGCAGGTCGCCCTCGTGGCGGGGCCCCAGCCGTCGGCCGCTCTCATCCGAGCCCCCTCCAGCCCCGGCGGCGGCCGTGCGTGACGCCTTCCTGAGCTTCTTTCGGGACCGCCACGGCCACCGCCTCGTGCCGTCCGCTTCCGTGCGGCCCCGCGGCGACCCCAGCTTACTTTTCGTCAACGCCGGCATGAACCAGGTGGGGGCGGGGTTTGTGACCTTCGCGAGAGAAAGGCGCTACGGGATTGGGCCAAAGAAGCAAGGGGCGGAGCTCATAGCTTTGCGGGGAAAGAGGCTATGGTTGGGCCTCAGGGGCTGGGGAAGACTCGACGTGGGAACTTCTAGGCTTGGAATTGAGTTTTAGGCCCAGAAACGGTGGGTGTGGAGCCCTGTGGGGGCAGGCTGGTGGAGGAAGTCTGGCTTCATTTATTCATTCTTTGAATGAATAAAGATAGCATTCATTACTTGAATGTGGTGTTGAGCACATACTATATGCTAGACTATGTTCTCTAACCTTTGACTTTGAGCACTGCTTACCCTCCCTCGACTTGGTTGTGTTCATCTGTAAAATGGGG